TGGGTCATCTGAAGATTTTGAGACCTAATCTGCCAACTATTTCACTTTGAGACACCTACTGCCATAGCATCAAGTCTACGATTTCTGAAGGAGCCCTCTTTCGTGACATAAATTTTCATTCCCTTTCACTCTACTACATCGCCTAGCGATTGTGGGAAAATTCTACTACCATCATCAGTCACCTGATAACTGATTCTGATGGTCAACAAATGTGACTTGTTGTTGTCCTTCAAGATGTGATAACACCAAAAAATGTCCCGGATCTTCAGGGGCCTGTCTAAATAAAATAGGCATAATTCTTAGATCCATGAATTCAACAAACGAGGTCCTTCGATAGATGATTCGTTCTTCTTTGAGTGAAAAAACCTGATTCTTGGATTTATTTACGTTCACCTTGTTTGTGCTGAATTGGAAAGTCTTCTTTCAAAGACGTTGGGAAGCCATAAATGTGGCAACAATACCAGCCTTTCAAGATCACCGACTGGATCTTGTCCAACTGTCAACTTCTCCTTTGGAATGTTCTAATTCGAGACAGCACCACTATTTCTTCCACGTCTCCAGAAATTACCACTCAGGTGATCTCGCTACTTAACCAGTTCCAGCACGGCTAAGTCTAAAAAGGTATTTAAAAGCATGCGAGTCAATATTGTAGTCATTTTATCCCCTATCTATCCACGTGAGTGAAGGCGGTGCCCTGTAAGTGGCCTACTATCACAGACGCGTGGCCCGTGATTCGTATGCCGGCTCGATACTCACCTGAGCCAACCAAGCCTCCCATTCCTCCGGCACGCTTAACTGGTACCGAACTCATCTAGGAGGATAAAAATCTGCCACTAAGTTTTTGAATGGAAGTCGAATAAAGGGCGCGTCCCATAAATGGGATCGATTGATCCCAGAGACTATAGTTTTTATCCTTGTAATTTCTTATTTAACTACACTTTTCACAATCCCCTATTAAGAGTTAGAAAGGAGTGATCTGAAACAAATGTCAATGCTTGAAAACCCGTCACGTGTATACTGCTATAAAACTAGTTCCAATCACATATTTAGTAATAACAACTATTGATAGTAACAACTTAATACTGACGCCATAACTCTATTCCCTTTAATTTTCCAAAATAAGTATAGAACAGGTTAGTGGTTTGATTCGTTTAGCGAATCATTCTTGTTGATTCATATCAAAAGACGTTTTCATATATTGTATCAACAGCAGATTATACTGGAGTCCAAATTAAGATTTGATACCATGAAGAGCGATTAATTACTTGGAGCAATTTATTATGTTGTACGGAAAGTAATTACCAAAAATTTCCCAATTGCCGAGTTTTCTCCCGAAACTGTCCGAGAGCTTTGATGGGGTTCCTCTACAGGAACGCTTCCCACGCGCATACGCATAACATATCCGACTACCTCTTCCTTGACTTTTTACCTGTGTAACCAAAGTGTCTACTAATATCAAACAAATACCTCTCTACGAATTCGAATCCAGCCACTCAGCTGCCATTGCTCGAATTCATCTAGACTTGTGCCTTGCATTTGACCTTGGACCCCCTTCAAAGCGGTTCTGTGCCCGCCTCATTCCAATGTCAGAGATAGGAAGGAGAAGGTTGGAGATGAACCTTAATTTGGTCAAGCGACTGAGATATCGTGAAAACTCCTGATTTGCTGTGCGCATACAAATGGTAATGTCCTTTAATGGTATTTCCGTGGAGGGTTCCTGGAAATCCAGGGAAATCTGGACTATATGAAAGTTTCTACAGGGGCTTTCCTCTCGGCCTGTTCATATTTTATCTATTGCGTTTGTACTTTGCCGACGTAGTAATCACCGCTAAAATCTCTCCCCGTTATTCGCTAAACCTTCAGCTATGCACACTTTTTCAGGGGGTACGGAGATGGACCAAGGTCAAAATGCGGCGATATCATACGTAAGGTCAAGGGATCGATGGGAAGAAGTTCTTTGCACACGCAAAAAAGCAGTTGACGAAAACGAGGGACAAGATCGGTTTCGCTGCTTTCTCAGACGAATCCAACTGACATGCCACTCTCGGAGCCCCTTTTCCAGCGGCTGCGTGAATTGGAGCCAGCAAAAACCAGAGAAGGGAAAAGCGATATCTCACGATACTCAAGATAAAGTGATAGAATTTTGTAGTGAAAATAGATAAACAATAGAATAAACACAGAGAATTTTTCGCCGAACCAGGGGCATAGGAGCAGTTCGGACCAAATAAGTGTTCCGATCCCTCCTGACCCCGTCAATCACAATGTAATTCTCTAGGAAGGAGAATGCACTGAATCGGTGGCTCCCTTTAATTCTTTGTGTAGGCTATGTACGTATTCATACCTCTGTTGCCATTCTGAGCGAAAATCAAAAAATAGTGTTCCAAAAAGAATTTCTATAAAAAGCTTTCGAACTGCTGTTTACATAGATTTTGTCTGGATGATAAATATAAACCGAGATTCGGTTGATTGGATCACCTTACTAGCTGTTAGCCAGGTGATCCACTTCACGTTAATCCGTCCTGAATCGCTTTTTGCAATTTCTCAGGCACACCACTGCCATTCGAAATGCAGAAGGGCCCCAAGGCTGTCTGAGCTCATGTTTTTTCTCTTCAGCTACTCGGGGTAGTATTTACCCGAATATGAATGGCCGCAATGCTTCAATGAATTTCGTAGGGTCCAAAACAAATGAATAGAAATGTCACAATAGAAATGTTGTCAAATCTCCAGCCATTCTGCTACCTCGGTCTCCCAGCCAAAAGTCAGGAAGAAGAGAATAATACTAGCTAAGTATATATGTCTGACCAAATTAGCTGTTAGTTGAAAAAAAAAGAAAGGCTATTCGAGATCTTTTGTTGCTCGTGACCATTGGTGAAGTTTGATGGCCCTTGAGGGCAGCCCTACCACTTAGGTCTTTACTTTGCACTTCAGTCACGAATATCGTTTCCTTGGTCAGCACTAGAAGCTTTCATGACCACTCAGCTGGTTTACTGGTACCGCACATATTTGGTAGCACAAATATCCTGCCATTGAACATTCACTAACCTCCTTATGTCACTAAAATGGCTCAACAATCATTCAAATGTCAGCTTATTTCGAATGTATGATGATTTCGATGGTAAACATTCATTGCCATAAATTTAATCCATTGTGGGTCCCTTCTATTCGTCTGTCACTTCCACTCGCTGTTACTTGCCCAGCTATTACTGGTTTGACCAAATACGGTAGCGTTATTACATAGGTATAACTCGATCGGCCGACAAGACGATGTGGTTAGCCAGAGTTTACAAATCCTAAATATATTTTATCTAAAGGCTCAGGTCATAGTGTTTGACGTTTCGGTGGATTTGAGGGCAATGAAGCTCTTGACAAAGATGGATACCAATCAATTCTCCTTCAACGGCACCGTTTCACTAACTTTGAATTTCGCACCCAAAACGCAAACGCAAGATCGTATATGGTCATCTCACCTAGATAGCATTCGGAAGCTCCCATATTACGTTCACAGCAATAAGCTACTCTATTTTTGCATACGTTACTAGTAGACGAAAGCTTTCTGCTGTAATGCTGTAGAAATGTCTGTTGTCCTCTATTTTTTGCTGGAAAGGGAAGAAAGTGGAGGGGGGGGGGGGGGGGGGGGGGGGGGGTAGAGGGAAGTAGGGAGGTCAAAAATGACTTTCTGTAGGTTTCTCAAGGCACTAGATGAATGCTAAGCAGGAAATTCGCTTGAATGTCTACAGTATTTTGACCACTACAGGGTGGTACCAGTGATCTTTACTACGTATGCTCGAAATCGAATTTTAGATCGAACGCTGTCTCTAATAGCCAATTATTTTGCAAGCCAGTTCCTTTCTTCATACACTTTTTTCAACTGCGAATTTCTTTTTGAAATTTTTTCTCGCTCTTAGGTCTTAATGACGGTTTGTTTTTGGACTCCACACGTTCCTCCCCTTCCATTCCTCCATTTGTTAGAATGAATCGCGACCGCTGAGGATCTGAGTCATGCTACCCACATACATTCCTTGCTTTACTGCATTTACATTTTTATACTATTCCTGCTGAATTGCTTATTTTTATTCACGCCTACGCGATGATGCAAGTATTTTAGCTGGCTATAACGCTTCAGATGAATTGCTAATCCGGTGATGCTTACTCTGTTGACACTTAGGAATCCAACATTTTTCGATTTTTTGTTGATTTCTTTCTTGAAAAAATCAAATTGAAAATCCAAAACTATCTCGTCACGCTTCTCTATCACAGGGATGCTCTTCCTGTCGACCTCGAGGTGTTGGTCGGGCGCTAAGACCGAAGGGTTGGTGTGTGGGGACAACTAACTAGTGCAATCGAGTAAAAATGGGACAACTAGTTAGGGATCTTCATGAGTTTTGAAGAGACTCAGCATATCACCACATGTTTACTTTGAAGCTTTTCGGTGATCTGTATGGGAAGCAAAGATGATCATCACCGAGAGCATGTTCTGTGGGGTGTCTCCCACCCCTTCCCTTCTCTCTCCACCTCCCCTGCTCCTTTAGTTTCCCACTTGCTCTTGTCCAATGTTCACAAGAAGCACTGTTCATTCACCATCAGACCATGTGCGTTGTATCTCTCCGAACGCTTTGAAGTGTAGGGAAATTCCTATCGTACAATTCGGCCGTCAAACTGTCGTGAAGGGCATTGTTCGCTGCAAGATGAGTGTAAAAGTACGAAAAACGAATGTCGTCGTATCGCAAACGTGAACGTGATTCATCGATAATCTTGAATGTGCAAACCCAGTTCACGTGCACTGCACCATGATCCTACAACCGTTTTTCGCACCCATTCATCATCTTAGTTGATTGACTTGTTTACCACTTGTTGATACTATTTTAGAAAACCCAAAAACTTGCAAAAAAACTTCTAGGAGTTGAAAAAAACTGATGGGTTCGGCCAGTACTTGGTTCTTGACGAATCTCTTCTCAGAGAAGGATCCAGAATCGGACTTTTAGGTTCCTTTTTCGCAAGGGCTATCCAAGCCACACAATCACTTCCATAGGCGATACTCGATTGAATTGATTTGTGGGTTCCCATGTTACAGCTACAGCCTGTGCATGTTCAATCTTTTCTTCATTCCCATGTGGGAATTGATGTAAGCAAAGTGGGACCAGAGCTGTGACGTCATGTGAGGGAACAGGAGGGAAGACTGCTTCAAGATAGTTCATCAGCTTCGGCTTCTTCATCATTGCACTGAGAAGTATCTGCAAGGATCTGATACTGAAGGGTTCCTGTTGTGTGAGTGGCTCTGCACAGTAAGGAATCAACTGTGGGATACCTGGCCCTCCTACAGTGGGGAATACCGAGCCAACTTTAACCTTCTTGAAGGTTCAAACTTTCCGGCGCGCATCTGGGTTTCTTGTGGAAGGTCACTTATGAGCTGGAAGCCCAATACACGCCTCGGGTAAAGGCTTATTCTTGTCCTAGAGATCCCTGGGTTTCTTCTAATAGGATTGGAAAGAACTAAAGATAGTTCCGAGTTTGAAATTATTTTTAGATTTCCTTGAATTTTGCCACGGATATTGGATTTCGGTAATTAGTGAAAATAATTACTTGACTATTACTTGAAACTAGCTACATAACTACTGTACAGCTCAATGACTTCCTTACAGGTAATACCTGTAAGGAACTTGGACAGGATAACTATTTCAAATGAATTTCCTATACGTAACAGTTTCAAAGTTTCCATTGAAAGAGCTTCCTGGCTATCGGAAATTTTAGTTAAAACGCGAGAGTTGTAAATATATTTTGGGAAACTAATTCTATTTATCTATTTCAGGAATTTCAGATGGATATCTTTTTGAAATTTATAGAATACAGAGAAAATCACTGTGAGATTTCAAAAAAATTAGCAGCATCTGATCTTTGTTTTACGAAGAAGTTCGTTTGTTTGCTGATGGGATTTTAGATTTGTTCCTTCGACGATAAGGAATGGAATGGAATTCTCCCACGTGATCATAGAACCTTCAGTAAGTACATGTAAACAGTACTGCGGAATTATATGATACAGTATTCGCTTTTCCTCCTGGGAGTACCTTAGATTGGCTAAAGAGTTCTCGTTCAGGAGTTACAGTATGTATGTTTAATCGACGCTACTCTGCTAGATATACTTCGGTCTAACCAGCTCTGTTCCCAACGCTCCTTACCTGTGGGACCCACGAATGGGGCGGTATTCTGGATTCAAATGACTTTAAGGGGTAGTCAGTGTAAATCCGAGCTTTCAGTCTTCAATACCACCGTACTACACTCTAAGCATTCCCATAAGGTCACAGTTCCGGTCTGTCACCTGCCGGAATTGAAACCTTCATGTGTACGGGGTCTACCGAGTAAAATTGTGATCTAGGAAGATACCACTTCGAGACTTAGTCTTCGGAGAATACCGGGTCAATTAACTGAGTTACTCCTTGATAGAACCTAACGGCGCCTTCACACTACCCGCACTCTTCCTATCTCCTAACTATACTCCCACTTATTTTGAGACCCACTAAACCACGTCATAGAATAAGCTGAATACTCGACCTTCGAGCATTTCCATAATTAGGTTTAAAAGACCAATGTTTCTTGGCGTTAATCAATTCCGACCGAGGAATGCACCCCCGCATCCGACTTCCATGCAAAATCGTAATGCCGTTCTGAATGCGAATGTGGCCCCATGTTATGACTTACGTTAGTAAACCACTGTACAAGTCAGTGCTTTTGTCCCCCTAGACATGTTTGGCATCAATTAAGAATCTCCCCTCCTCCGGAGGGATAGAAGGCTTTAGACTTGGGCAGGTAACGATTCAGGTTAAATCCCTGGACCACGGATGGACCAATAGCGGGCACATTTGCCACTGACTACCTACTCCTCCATCTTCTAGCTATTATGTACGACCACTTTTCTAGGATCTGGGAGGCTTCGACATGGAATGAGCTACTAGTACTATCTAGTATTCGGCGCAGGGGGAAATTTATAATTATCGATGCAAATCATATGCATGGCGTGTTTAGAAAGCATAGAACAATTGCAGTTACACATTGTTCTCATTCATTCTTTTTAATCACGTAGGTGCTGTTTGCATATTTCATTCCATCGAGTATCAGCTAGAGTGTACTCAGTGATGGCACCACCTTTCGTAAACGGTCATTGTTTTTTTAAAGTTATTTGCCTATCGAAATTATCAATAGGCACAAAGACTTACGGAATGTAAGAAAAATATCGAAAACAAGCTATATTTAGAGACAAAAAGAGCAAAAAACAATGTACTTTTGTTCCATCACTTAATCACTCATAACAGATGATCGCTGTCTTTTGAAAAAGACTGCCCTCACTATTCGACCTTCTACTTTTGAAGGGCTCTATGTAGAATGATTACAGTGGAGTAGAAAAGTAAACATTGAAGCGAATGGACTGAAGCAAGTCCGCGGCCTCAAACATCCAAGACCCTCCAAATTGAAACTACTCCAAAATAGGTATATTTAGTTTGTCCATTGATATGGAAAACACTAGGGTCGCCGTATTTCAAAAACTATTGCTTTTTTACTTCCTCGGGCAGGCCCTGCACACAGATTACCTGGTCCTTAGAGATGTTGGACTCGGCTGACCAAGCCACTAAGATCTTGCTCGACTCACTTATGGATTGACTTGTAAGAAGAAGATCTGGTCCATCTATCGAAAAACCGCAGACTAGTCAACTTGAAAGTTCAAAAACAAAAAGTAAAAGTATGACAAAACAGGTATGGGAGATTCAGAAGCAAGCAGACGTGTCTCAAACCAAAAGGAGATTTTAGGAGATTTTACCCACTCGCCCTCCCCGAAGAGGAAAAAAAACTCTGACTGTAGCCGGCCAGGTTGACTCAAAAGATTCATCGTTTGATCCCCTTTAGCCACTGTACAGTTAATATAATAATGGATGACTGTTAAGGAAGAATATTCGTTGAACGTTGGGTGTGACCATTGCATGAGTCACCCAGCTGACAAAACGTGGTGTTACTCAAACATTTACAAAAATATTCGAGAACTTCGAGGTTTGTTACCAATACTGCTCTAAGATTATGTAGGCTGATTCCTCCACTTACCTATGGCCTACGTCTGGTTTACTTTTCAACCCTTCAGAATTTCGAAAGTCATACAGAAACAGTCGCAGTGGCAGATGAACTCTGATTGCATTTTGGCTGTATTATATCTCCTCAATCAAAGGAGTACCGCCCTAGACGTCATCGAACCATAGTGCACACATCTGATTACTTAGGGAACATTAAATCATCCCCATCTCCTTCCTCTTTCTTTTCGACTCTTTTGGCAGCGCCAACTAGTCCCATTTGTATGGGAACACTTCCTACAACAGCCTCCCTTTGCGCACCTTTGACAATATTCAGTTTGCATCGAAAGCGCTGCAGAGAAATACTCATTCGCCAGAAGAGACGACCCGTGAGGTGGAAGACGATTGAGATGGGAGCAGTGTGTGTTTGATGTTCGTCAAGAACGCCCTTACAGGAAGTCCCGCCTCCAAGTGGTTGAGTTTGTCCTGTTGCTTGACAAAAGACTATCTCTCCTCCTGCATATCTATTTCAGAACGGTAGAGGGCAGAAAAGCTGTAAAGCTATGGCTGGACACACGTTTCGTGTATTTCCTTGTGTCAGCCCCCGAACTAGGGATTGAACTCGTGTTTCCAGTACTTTTTCTTTTGACTGTTCACTAATGCGCCATCTGCCTAACACTTCATAAAAAAGCCCCACAACATACACAACTATTTTAGGATGTTCCTTCAATGACTAGAGATCGGACTGATTCAATTAACCGTTTGGAGGAAATTGTTTTAACTTTTATGCATGTGTTTGTCGACGTTTTTATTTGTTTTTCAAGGGTCATTGATTTGTGAATGTAAACAAACTAGCTTGGCCGTTTGGATAGTTCATCGCCTTCTTTCAGTAGATTTCCTGGTTTAGGATTCTGAAAAACTTTATCTCTGCCACCCCATCTCTTTTAGACATAAGAATATTTTATCTACATGTGAAGCGAGGGCCCTTCAAGGGCTTTCAATGTAAGCGACGCCCTAGGTGGAATAGGCAGAGATTAGGAGGCGCAAGAAGAGGCGAATGGTCCCCATGTGGCAGCACCGAGTTAGACTTATGTATTGGAGAGTTACCGTAACGGTAGCATTCCTCTCCTCTAGACCTCTGGAGCCTTGAGCTCGATAGAAGAATTAAGTTTTCTCGATCATGAGCTTTGTATTTTACTGAGCTGTGGCTTAATTCGAGCGGAGATGGTGTAGTGGGAAATGACGCATTATTACGCGCGCGTGGTTCAGGGATCGGAAAGGGCTTCTTATCTCTAATAAGCATGCTTAAGAGTATTCAGAAATAGTCATGAGGCCTACCCGAAATGCCCGTGGCTACAAACAACGTCATATGCAGCCTCCCAAATTAGATAATCCCATTAGGAGAACAACACGTGAGCACAACACTTGAGGTGGTATTCGAAACGAAATTCTCATACTCCAGTTGATGTTGTTCCCATGCTGGAATTGGTTAAACACTTCCTTGTGGAAGACGAAACATACTACCCCAAATTGTTATCGTCATATACGATCGACTCTCCATAAACATCGACATAGTATGGGTCGAAATTGGCAGAACTTTTCTCAATTTACTGGCTTCCCAGACAAAATGCAGTCAGGTTTGGCCACTAGGAGTAAGAAGGTGGAGGTGGTGTAGCGGCAAGTGGCGGACTATCTCACACGCATGGTCACGGGTTCGGATCCCGGACCGATATCCGCTTGAGTCAACCATTCCTTCCATCCTTCCGGGGTCGACAGGATGAATGCACAGATTTGTTCATCGGCTGACCACCGCATTCAATATACCACTACGACTTTAAATCTGAGTCGAGTGCGGGGGCTCCTCCCTCAGAGGGGTTGATTGACGCCAAAAAACTTCATCCTTTATCCTTTGAAGAACAAGAATGTTCCATTCGCGAACCATGCATTTATGGTAGTGTGCCATTTGCCGCTGCGCCACCTCCGTTGAAAGGTAATCATAATGGTGCAAAGCTGGCCAAATCACAATTCACTGGATTACTCGCTGACAAATAAATCCTTATTCCGGTGATCTGTGCCGTTTTTAGAATGCGCCTCGCATTAGTAATCCAGTCAGTAACGTGTATCATTTTGGATGCGTATGTGGGATATACATGGCTTGCAGTTTGTGC